CAGCAAAGAGTTGACCACCATGTACAAAAACATCTGTATTTTTTGTATGTTTAAAGAGAGTACATGCTGCCCACTAACCTTTTCCATATAAAAGGCCAGCTTCTAGCTAGAGATCCCTAGATGTCTCATTCACAGCCGATGCTTTGCAGACTTTTATCATCTTTTTCCCAGTTTCAGTTCCTCCTATACTTGTGTAACCTTACCAAATCCAGGCTGATCCTTGCCAAGGGCTTGAGGTCCTGCAGGCTTTTCCCTAGCAGTAAGCTCTGAGACCTGGGCCTTTCTCGTTCCGTGGTTTGAGGCCTGCAGCTGAGCCTCATACTGCCATAAGCTGGTGGTGGTGGATGGATGGATGGATGGATAGATGGATGGATGGATGGATGGATGGATGGATGGATGGATGGATGGATGGATGGATGCAGTGCCTTTCCCCCCGGTGTCTCTGCTAAATCTATAAAAATGGCACAAAGCCTAAGCAGGTCTTAGACAAATTGGCTCCTTTCAGGAAAACTGCTTGGCCCATTCAAATATCAACAAAACTCCTCCTAGAGGGTGAATTACTTGGTGTTGAATGACATCTTAATGAATGGGTGTAAGCTTTCTTTTTTTTTTTCTCTGGTGAAAAAATGACTAATCCAGAGGTGGTCTCAAGAGCTTATGCCCTTTTCCCCCTTTTATTGCCTCATCACCTTCTTCTGAGCTCATGATTCAGCCATGGTGTCCCACACCCATCCTGTACTTAGGGCAGCCAAAACCCCACCCCTTCTGTGGGTGGTGGCTTTTTGTACAGGGGTACAGAACAAAAAGGTGTTCTAGTATACTAGTGTCAATCATATCAGAATAGTAGTTGAACTGGAGAGAGCAAGAACTTCTAAAACACACCTTATTCAAGTAGGCGTTTCCTTCTGTTTTAACCTTGCAAGTAATGCCATGAAATAAAGACTCTTGAAAAAATTAGTTTCTAATTTCCCATCTTTCTAGAAAGCAAAGGATTCTTTACGTTCATTTTCTCATTGGCGACTATCATGATAATGTTCTTCAGTTGCCCTCAGAAGTAGTGAGGTGAATTATCACATAACTCAAAGCTGTGCTACTTTACAAGTGACAAATAAATTTAAAATCCCACAACCTTTTTCTGCTATTTAGTCAGTAAAGGAACAGCACAGGCATGTACTACAGCACTGGCAATTCCTGCTAGTTTCATCTGGGACCAGAAACTTTCTCAGGTTTCAATAAAACTTCTTTGAAATTTTTCAAAATTCTCTTTACAGTTTAAGTTGAATATAGTACTCTACCTTCTCTTCTAGAAGTGTGTACAGTTGCTATTTCAACAACCTGTAAGTTGCTGAGGCATCTAAGGCTGGAAGTGTATCCCATCAATTAATTTTCCACATCTGATACCTACATCTCAAGGGCCCTCATGCCACATTAGGTGATTTTCAACAATCTGTTGAAGAAATTCATTCAAGGCAAGAAGATGTATCAGAAGAGTCTTTTCTTTCCACAGCCTGTGTATGTGTCATGTCCTTAGCAGCATGTTCCTTCTGTGTTCTCCCACAGGACTACTGCAGAACAGAGCTCTGAGACACCTTGTTATGAAAACCTCTCTGAAAGTTTAAAGTATTTTGGCTACTTTATTTTTTATTACCTTCTAAACTCTCTTTAAAGCTATGTTTCTTCAAAATGCCAATGTGCAGAATTCTGGAAATGCAGGTCTTCGATGACATGAGGAGTATTACGTTGAGCTGGCATCTCACTCATGCTTGCAGATGCATGTAGGTACGTGAGGAGGACAGCTCATGGAATGGAGAATGCTGCCGCTTTGGCTTGACAACAATTAGCATACTTCAAACTACCATGTTGTAGATCTGCTGGTATTTTTACTGAAATCGGTTCTCTTTTGGTGTCACAGCCATATTACTTTCAAAATCGTTGTGTTCCCCGAGTTTTATTTTCAGCACATCTTATCAGATAGACTTTACAGGAATTGATTATACATAGTTATTGAAAATATGCCAGTGGTTCACTTCAGGCAAATGATGAGAATCAGTGAGCTCATGATCCACCACTACATTATGTTATTGCTTCTTTTTATGAAGCTTGCCATCCTTCCAAGGGAGCTGAGGATTGCATGCAGAGCACTGGCAGGAACTCGGCATTCTTACTTTAAGCAAAGATCCTTCTTGCACAGAAACAAGGTGTTGCTTAGCTATACCTTTGCTCTGCCTAAGACAAGGGCTCTCACTGCTTTCCAAGCCATACCACCATGCCTCTACCACTCCCAGTTAAATCTCCAGCCACACATACACTTGAAAATTAATCGGGAACTTTTTGGAGAATTAAGGTCTACAGTGGTGACAAATATTGCTTATCAGATACTAATTTAATTCAATTTTTTACTGGAAACCTCTATGACTAGGATCAAATAAATAAGCAATGGGCTCATCATTGTTCCTTACAAGTGACTGTGATACAAAGAAACATTCTAGGAAAATCTGAAGCCTACTACAATGAATCTAGTATCTCTTTGCCAGCGTTCAGCAGTGTGGAAAGATTGAAATAACCATGGCTTAAAGTCCCCACAGCTATATCCAGAACTTCAGTAAACAATGTGAATGGAAACTCAGTCTGAGACACCCATGTTTGTTCCCTATAGACTGACTCCACAGCAGCAGACAGTTAAATGTGGAAATGCATGAGTTAATCCAGAAAGTAGTATACAAATTATTCACAGGGGGGAAATTTAACTCCATAACCAAACTATCAAACTGCCGGAACAGCTGTTTATGTTGCAGTAATACCGGAAACCTAACCTAAAGCTGCGACCCCATTGCAACTAGTGCAGTTCCTGCCCCAGGAAAATTACAGACTGTTTTCTAGTCAAAGTACACAAAGGGCATAAAATCAATTAACAACAGTGTGAATAAAAGCAAAACAAAGAGTAATAATACCTGGGTGGCTTTCCTGTACTGCTTTTCATCAGTAGGTCTCACAGGGGTTAATCCGATATTGTCACACAATCCTTAGTGTATTTATCTTCAAATCATTCTCTCTAAGGAGATACTGTTATCCCTGGTTTATGTATCAGGAGCTATGACTCAAAGAAACACCAATATTGCATGCGAAGTAGGGAATTGAACCAAAGTCTCACTGCTTGTGCACTACATACTGCTCCCTGGAGAACTTTTGCCTAGATGCTGCTCCCTGGAGAACTTTCTTCTAGTTGCTTAGCTAATGGAAAGGTATCACGTTGAAGTATCATGGGAGAAACAGGTCCATAAAAGAGATTCCAAAGAGGGTAAGGTAAGAGTTTTATGAATTTTCATGCGATTCTAGTTCATATGCATGACATAACAAGCATAGGGATGTATAAGGAAGGAATGAACAAATAGATCAGCAACGATAAGCAAAATGCCATTACAAAAGTATTAGTAATTGCATAGATACTAGCGTCAAAACTTCTAAAAGGCCGGTTGGTGCCATTCAACTTCAAAAGCTGATCACGAAATTAGGTCCCATGTGACAACTGAGTAGGCTTCAACAGTGTGCATTATTTCCCGTCACAGGGAAAAGGTTGGAATTAAGCTGAGTAGATCATCTAGCCTTGTCCTCAGCAGAACTGCTTATAACGCTATCATCTCTGATAGACGTATGCTCTTTGTTCTTAACGCTGCCTAATGAAGGTGACTTAATTCTCTACTTAGGCAGACTATGACAGTTCTTCATTTTCGCTGCCATTAGAAAGTAGTCTAATGCTAATAGTGAAGTTGTATCTGGCAGTTTGAGCTCATTACTTCTCACCAACATAGCCAGGATATGAAAGACAGATTGTTTCCTCCCTTTCACTTCATATCAGTCTTTTAAACATTTGAAGACTGATGACCTATCTTCTTTAGTCTTCTTGAAGGGACTCAGTTTATTCAATCTTTTTTCATTCTCTGATGAAAAAAAACCCTCTTCACACCCGTTCTCCTTTAAAATCCTTCCAGTTTCCACATTTCTTCCTGAGTGGAAATTCAAACCTGACCAAAGCACTGCGGTGCATGAAGGTAAATTCCTAGTAGCAGACAGTACCTGGGGTTGGCATCACACCTCTATCTCCCCTTAAATCTCAATTCTTCTCCCTTCTCAAAGCGATGCTCCCGGGTGAATCCCCGCTGTTCCCACAGCACTCACACATGGTCAGGATCGACAGTTCTGTCCTCAGCGATGGCTGTCCTGGCTACAGAAGGGGATATATTCCCACCCGTCAGTCAGCGTTCACTTTGTGATGTGGGTTTACTGGGGGGAGTGGATCATGGGGAGGCTGCAGCCTCTCTTAAAGCCATGCATGGCGGGGGAAGAGCAGCCAGGCTGCCCAGGCAGAGGCACCTGGCTCAGCAGCCCTCCACTCACCAGGGCCTTCTGTCTCTGTCAACAAAAATGATAAAACCTGTAACTCCTGTAGGATTATCTGTCACCTCACCAGCCTATATCTTAAGTAACCCAACTATGCTATTGCCATTAATTAGCATTTCATCATTAACTTGGGTAATCCTCATCTTTAAGAACACGCATCTTTGTGATCAACAGATTTGAAGGGGCGGCGATTATAGCACGAGATGTGCGAAATCTCCAATAAAGCCTTTTTTTCTCTTTTGTTTCGCCACCTAAGCCCTGAGCTGCTGAGGCACGCAGCTGTGCCGGCGGGATGCACGACTGCTTAGGGAAGCGCCCCGGCTTCGAAGCAACGTTCTCCACCGCCGCCTGAGGAAAAGGAGGCCGAGTAATCGCACAGGGCGGGCGGACGAGCCGCCCCGCTCCGGCCCGGCCCGGCCGGCCCGGCTCAGCTCCCCAGGCGGCGGGCGCCCCTCACCGCCTCGCGGGGCCGGGCGCAGCCGCTCACCCGCTCCCTCAGGGCAGGGCGGGGCGGGGCGGGCGGCGCGTGCCGGGCCGGCCCGGCCCATCTGAGGGGAGCGGCGGGAGGCGCCTTCCGCCCGCCCGACCTCTCACCCGGCGGCGATCGGCGGCACAACACGGAAGTGCGATGGCGGCCGCGGCGGAGGAGGCAGCGGGAAGCGGCGGCGGCTCCCCGTCCTCCGCCCGGCGGCGGCTGCGCATCATCTCCGGGCACCTGCGGGGCTCGCCGCGGGCTCCGGAGCAGGCGGCGCTCTCCCCGAACCCCTGCAAGGCGCAGGGGGGCTCCGCCGGGCCGGCCTCCGGCTCCATCCCGAAGAAGCGGTGGGTGCGGGCGGGGGTCCCCGCGGGGCAGCTGCGCCCCGGGCCGGGCCGGGCGGTCTCCCGCAGCGGTCGGCTGTCGGTGCGGGTTCGGGGCGAGGGCAGCCCGCGCTGCGGAGAGCGATCTTGCTGCCGCCCGGGGTTGGGCGTGGGCTGATGGGGCCCGGGGGAGGTCCCGCGTGGGCTGCGCGGGGAGCTGCGGGGTTAGCGGGGCTGGGAGGTGCTGGGGAGGAGAGCGAGGCTAAGCCCGAAGGCGGCTGGAGTGATTCACCGCTCTAGGGGCTGGATGAAACCGAAGGAAGGTGGTCTGCAGCCTCTTACGTGTTTCTGTAGCAAGTGGGGTTGTGCTAAAGCGGAAAGCCGTTCACAGTCACCTTACCTGGAGAAGAGGTTCCGTGTTTGTAAAATGCTTTGAGACTGCTCCAATGAAGAACGCAGCACGTGCGGAAAGCAAGGGTTGTGTGTGGGCTCAGTCATTCTCTGTTCACAGACACGAAACCTTCACCTTACGTGAATGCTGCCGGAAACGTACTCGTACATTAGGCTCTAACTCAAGTGTCTTAGAAATCAGTAGTTTTAAGCATATTAACTACCTTTTCTGTTTCTTACCAGAATTAGTAGGTAAAGCATCTCAGGTCACATGAGACCAAAGGAAGACAAATAGTCATATTGTCTAGTTCAAAATTGTTTCACTGGCTCTTAGATTTATTTTTTTTAGTAGATTCTTTTAAATGCTACAATTACAATACCAACATATAGTTTCACGTAGCATAGTTATGAGGCGCACTTTTCTGCTGGGGTGGACTTGTATCTGTTTTGTGATTTCCCCCACCCCCCCTTTCTTGAATGTGCATTTTCTATAGATGAGTTGTCTTGCTACCCTGTAAGAGCATTTTAAGGTTTAGGGTTTAGACAACCTACATACAGGGACTAGTATGTTAGAGTATGGAGGCAGATAGGGCAGGTAGTGGATAAGAGAGTTGTTGATCCTTCGAGGAAAACCCATTCAGCTCACAGTTTGATCTTAACTCTTTTCAAGATGAGAGCAAGGTACAGCCTGAATTATTCTAACAAGCCATTTGTGGCCCAGGGCCACAAGCAGAGCCTGCCTGTTTTGGGAGGACTGAGATGTCATGAGCATGTAGTCAAATGTTAACAGCTTTGCAAGCATTTAGTTTTCACTGAGGGGCATTTGATGCTCTTGCAGGAGTGTGTCAAACAGTGCTGCTCACTGGGAGAAATGGGTCATTCCAAAATTGTTGCCTTCCCTATTGAGTTTTTCTTTGGTTTGGATTTAGGAAGACATCACTGATTCTGAAAAAAAATATCAGTTTAGCTGGTTTTCAAAGATTTATTTTAAATGGGTTATTGCACGATTTCTACAGCTAGTTATTGCACCCTCGAAGAGCAGGAGAAACTGGCTTTTGAGAGGATGCATGTGACCCAAGGATAGCTTCTTTCTCTGTGGAAACACAGGCATAGTGAATTTAGCATCTGTATTTCTACAAGTTATTGACATTGCTCTCCCATAGTAGGATTTGCTATAGGATCATAATGGATTGCTTTTTTACTCTAAATAACTTGTTCTGGATTAAGAATAAAAATTACGTTGCTTCAAGGAATTTATGATCAAAGTGATACAACTTCTGGATACTTTGCTGTGGGTGTAAGGGAGCTGCTGGAAAGCTTGGCCTGCATCACAGGGACAACTGTCTTGATGTACCTAGAGCCCAGCCTTTTTGTGTGTATAGAAACAAAAAAACATAAAGGGAGCTGTATCTTTGTCTTAAGATTCCCTCTAAACATCTGAAATTAGGTTGAAACACATTTGAGATATTGCATGTGAAAATTCTAATTCTTAAATATAGCTTGGATGTGAGGGTCTAGGTAGAATTTGTGTTTGACGATAATACCCAGGTTTTGGAGTGGTGGGGAAGACAGACAATTCTGTTGCCTGTGCTGCTCTGGAGGTGACAAGTGATGAACACCTGAGTCCTGTTCTAGCGACTTCCAGCTAGTCTGGAGCTGGTTGATCTATTCGTGAGACCTAAGAGGTTGATAGAAAAATCTGGTAAAAACAACTGACCTATAGGTGGGTACAGTGATACTGCATGGCTTTTATCAGCAACATTAGGACAGTCCAAACCCAGATTTTGTTGTGTTTTTTTTGTTTGTTTGTTTTTTTTCTTGCAGTCTTCTGTATGATGATTCAGCTTTTTTGCCTCCTTCAAACTATTACTTTAATTTTTCCTAGCAAAGCTGCAGCCAAAAGTACCTTATGCAAAATTTTTGTCCATTATGCCTGCTGTATCTTTCCTGTAATGTTTGAAATGGTGTCAAAGCTGCAGACACTGTTGTGCCAGATTTAGGTGCACTCTCTTCATGTTGCATTTCTTCTGCAAAGTAGAAGACTTGGTACAAAGAAGTTTGTTTTGTTTTGTTTTTTTCCATTATAGGACTTTAGGTGTATGTCTCTCAGAATTTTTTTTCTGGCTGCATATTCAAGAGTTACTAGACAGTGACCTGCAGAAACATGTCTTTCTTACTGATAGTTCAAAGGCCAAACTGTTAAACTTACCCAGACATTCATCACTGGTGAGGGGAGGAAGGAGAGTGTGTGGAATGGACTGAGAGTCTGTGGGTACTCATCTCATTGTCCCTGTTTCCAAATAAAAATGCCTCTGAAGGCTAAATGCTGTGTTTGCAAATTGATGTGTTTAAAGGTTGTAATATTCTTCCTACTTTTTTAAAATGACAGTTATCGAGGTGGAAAAGTTCCTTTAAAAAGACAAGCAACTCTATAGTCACCTGACTATCCTTTTGAGGGGAATCTTCATTACTGTAAGAGTGGAGAGATGTTATTTATTGGTTGCATTGCTGGCTTGAATTTCATATTTTAATTCAGTGTTGCAGTGGAAGATGGGAATCCTAGTTATACAATGTGTGTTGAAGCCTTATTAGGATGATGTGTGTGCTGAAAAACATCACTAAAAAAGTTGAGTTGGGAAAGACCTCTTCCTTGAAATTACTTTTTCTGTACTCTTACGTTATGCTGTTGACTTTTGTTGACTGGTTATTAGTAAGCTCACTTTGCTGGTGAGACTTGAGTTAAACTTAGTTATTTTGAAGATTAAGTACACAAAGTGTTCAACTTGTACAGCTTTGAAAGCAGTAAGGTGCTACATGTCCTGAGAGCACAGTGGTAGCAGAGTAACTGTTACGTGTGCTAGAAAGTAAGAGTGCAGCAGAGATGGAGCATGCACTGATGCTAATCTTGCCATAATAGCTTGTACTATAACTTTATTCAAATAAAACTTTAAACAATTGGCCCTTATTAAAAGGGAATACTGTTTGAGTGTAACTAAATGTTGACTCAGTAGCTTGTAGGCTTAAAATTTTTCTGTTCTGGAGCAAGAGAAAGTAGGGCAGGATTTCCTCATTTTCCTATATCTTTGTGGGGAAGCTTCTTTCCTGTGGGATGAAGAGAAGCTTGTGGATCCCTTTTAATTATTATGGGTTTACTGCTATCCTGGCTAAACCAAGGGATGGGTGTGTAGCCAACAACCTGCTCTGTATGAAGTTCACACCCAGGTTGTTCAGAGTAATTTGTTAATATTGCCGTACCTTTGTATAGACCTTTGCAGTTCTTGCTGTAGCATTTGAAGAATCTTTCAGTGTTTGTTTACTGCCTGGAAGTAGCCATGTATGTGCATTTTTGTAGTAGAGCAGTCTCTTCAAAGATAAAAATGAAACTTGTGTCAGCTGAAGTAGTAGGTGGAATAGAGATAGTTTCTAGTAAAGTATTCTGTTGACTAAGAATCACCATTTGGCTAAGTGTATACTGAGAAGCATAGTTATAATGTGTTGGCTTTCCCAAATCATGAATTCACCCCAATTGACTTAAGCTTTCAATGAAAGCACACTAGAGAAACACTGATGTCCTTATTCCTTGGGGTTTTATTACAGTGTGGTGAAATGAAGCGTAGTGAAATAGTTGAGGCTAGGAACATGTGTAAGGACAGTTAACGTTCATGTTAGCAGAACAATTTTTTTAAAAAAAGCACACTGCTTTTGAGTACCTAAACCCTTGAAGTTTCATGCTTAAAATCTTGTGTCTGCATTTGCTGCTTTCTGTAGATTTAACTGTAAATATGAGCTCAGGTTTGTGTTGCTGTATCAGATATTCAGCAAGCAGAATAGCAACTGTATCAGGTGTATGTGCAGCTGCAGGGCTTTAACTGAAAGTGTTGGCTACAGAACCTGAATGTGTCTAAGGTTATAAAACAGATGTTACTTGACTTCAGACTTGAGAATGATTACATTTGGTTTGCTGCAGGGAAGATTCTCCAAGAAGAAAGGAGAATGACAAACACAGCAGATACTCCCTGCCTGCAGCATGGCATTCTTCTCCAGATAAATGATGCTTTCACAAAGCAGTTCTTGAAGCAATTCATTGGGCTACATTCCCTTTCCTAATTTCCAGGCACCTGATACTAATTTACTACTGGCTTCAAAAGCACTCTGGAGTGGCTTGCTTACTTGGTCGAGAAGTGTGATACTATAATCCCAGCAGAGAGACTGCTCCAGAGGAGAGGGAGGGTGACCTTCTGGTACCACCTGTGGAAGGAGTTCTGAATTTCCAGCTGGTGGTCTGAGTTGGTAACCAGAAGTCCAGCTGAGGTAGGTTTTGAGGAGTTACTGTTTGCGTAATGTCTTCTTGTAATCCCTTAGCACCATAATACTGCCTCAATCTTACTGCACCCATGTGCTGAGTTCTGCAAGAGCTCTACAACCTGCAAGACTTTTTTGCAGTGCTACATTAGGCAAATACTGGTGCTTTAGCCCAGGTGATAGTCCTTAAAACTGCCACTGTAAATTCATTTCCAAGAATGGTTCTTGGATCATGGAATAGGAGTGTCTGTGAGTATTTAATGTATATGCTGTTTTAATGCTCAGTATCGTCTGGTGATTGAATTGAAAGTGCTAGTGGTTATTGTGAGGAA